AAAGTATTTGTTACCTCCCATCAAATCCACCTGGATTGGTCCACATACATCAGAGTATATGACTTCAAGAATAGCCTTCGACTTGCTTCCTGCATCTTTGTTGAAGCTATTCTTGTGGTGCTTCGCCTGCACACATTCCTCACACACTTCATTTGGAATGTCAATTTTTGGAAATCCTTAAACCATATTTTTTCTCTTCAAATCTCTGAAGTTGAGATGACCTAGTCGATAATGCCATATTCATTCATCTCTGCTAGCTGCAGTCGAAAGGCACTTGTGTTCCATCACATTAAGTTCAATCTTGAAGGTTCTATTTTAAGACATGAGAGCCTTCAAGATTAACCTTCCATTTGCGTCGATGACTTTCATCATCTTGTCTTCGACCAACAATTTGTAATTCTTTTCGACCAACTGCCCCATGCTAAGCAAGTTGCTCTTCATGCCTGGAATGTATAACACATTCGAAATTACTGACATTTTTCCATCTTTCTTCATGATAAAAAAATATCTAATACCTTCAGCTGCTAGAGTATTGTCATTTGCAAATTTCACTGTGTTCTTCGTTGAGGGTTTCATGTTGAAAAACCAATCTTTCCTTACAGACATGTGTGATGAGCATCCTGAATTTAAGTACATTGGTCCTTGAATTTCTCTTCATCTCTTGTTGTAACCATCAGCATCATCTCTTCTTCTTCATACTTTGCGAACTTTGCATCACTTTCTTGATTCTTTCACTTCTCTGGACAATCACTAGAATAGTGACCATACTTCTGACAGTTGAAATATTGAATGTGACTATTGTCAGATTTTCGACCACCACCCTTTCCTCTATTTGAAACACCACCTCTTTGGTTGCCTTGGTATGGTCTTCTCTGATTCGATACATTTTCTTCGTTCTGGTTTCCTCTACCAGTCGAATTGTTGTAGCCGCCTATACCTCTGTAGAACCACTTTCCTTTGCCTTGGTTTCTTTTGCTGAATGTGCCTGAAAAATCACATCACTTTTCGACTTGCCTGCAGCTCTTCCAGTCATTCTTTGTTCATGAGATTCAAGCGTCCCTTGAAGTTCTTCCTTTGTCAACTTCGACAAGTCTTTCCCCTCTTCTATAGCCACCACCACGTGGTCGAACTTAGGAGCCAAAGATCTCAAGATCTTCGAAACAATAGCTCTTGTTGTTAATGTTTCTCCACATACCTTGGTTTGATTCACTAGTTTTATAACTCTAGTGAAGAAATCAGATATATGCTCTCATTATCTTTCATCTGAAGCAATTCATACGTTCTCTTTTGAAATTGTAACCTCACTTCTTTCACCTTTTCTGCACCACCAAAAGATTTCTCAAGAATCTCCCAAGCTTCTTTTGTAGATTCTGAATCACTCACTTTTTTTAAATTTTTTGGACTCAGACATTGATGAATTATAAAGATTGCTTTATAACTCAGCTTCTTCGATTATGTGTGTTTCTTCTTTTCTTCTTCTGAAGCGTTTTCTCCAAACGCTTTCAATCCATCCTTTACAAGATCCCAAAGACCTTGACACCTGAATAAAACTTTAATCTGTTTGCACTAATTCTCATAGTTTGTCTATTTTCAGAATTGGTAGAGTTGCTGGGTAATTCGCATTCCCATAACTCGTCATCGTGAATTCTTCTTTTTCTCAATCATTCTTGATCGATACTTCCCTTGAATCGATTAAGCAGAGCTCTTGATACCAAATGTTGGAAATCCACCAAATATCTATGATGAATTTCTATTAATCTTGATAAACAAGATTGATATCATCATACAATGACAATGAATTAAGAGAAGAAGAAAAAAACAAGACAATTAATTTTCTTCAAAGTTTCTCTCTGTCCACAAACTATGAAAAACTTTATTATTCACTTGCAACTGCAAATTCTATGAATACAATGAATTGACTTCATTACAAAAAAAATAGGGGTTACTCTCTCTATTTATAGATTTAGGTTAGCTTGTTCTCTAAACCAAAGTCCAAAACTATAAAAGTCCAAAATACCTATTTTGGAACTAAATCAAATCTATTCTATTTTAGATCTAAATCAAATATATCTAAATCTAAAATGAATCTAATTTGTCGAGTAAATTGCTTCGACAATCTCTAACCCTTTGACACACATAATTTTGACACTATGAATTACAATGTAACACACACCCTAGTCGTTCTCCTTCAAAAAACAATTGAGTCAAAAACATGTTTAGGCTAAACGCAAGGGCAAGGGCAAAGGTTGTCTCAGTCGCCCGGCTCCCTCACCCCTGCCCCTCTTGACTAGGGATGTCAGTTTGGACCTGTTAATGGGGATCCCCGCGGGGAACGCCCCGTTCGGGGCCCCAAAGATGGGGAATTTTCCCCCGTGGGGGCGGGGATGGGGAGAAAAATTTCCCCGAGAGCATTTCGGGGACGGGGACGGGGAATACACCTCCCGCCCCGCGGGGACCCCGCCCCGCCTATTATTTTAATATAGTTAATTTAATATATATATTTTAGATTAGGTTTTTTAGTCATTTCCTTTATGCATAATTATGTTGTTGGATTTTTTTAGTTGTTTAGGCATATTGTTACTTTAAAAAGTATTATAGTTCATTTTGTTGAATTTTTTATAGCATTTTATAGAAATTTATAAAAAAAATATTATTATTTTGTATTCCATTAGTATTTTTAATAAAAAATAATAAATGTCAAATACTAGTATTTTTTAATAACATAATAAATATGTGAATTCTTTGTGCTTTTTATTTTTATAGAAAATATAAACATTTTAAAAAAATAAAATATTAATGAATAAATGTAGGATCTATGGGGATCCCCGCGGTGAACGGGGATCCGCGGGGAACGGGGATGGGGATAGAAATTCCCCCGTGACGGAGATCGGGGACGGAGACGGAGAATGAATTTGATGGCGGGGAAAAAGATGGGGAAGTGTCCCCCCGGCCCCGCCCCGCCCCATTGACATCCCTACTCTTGACACTAGTGCTAGATAACACTGATACATATAATTATATTCAATTACTTCTATTTTTTACAATTATCATAACTGTCAACGTGTTAATGTAAGTGTCGTGTTTGTGCCTAGAGTTTGGCATTAGGCAAGAGAAAAAAAAATGTTTTTCAAAGCTTGATTACATTCCAATGTTAAAAGGATATCCAATTAAAATTCTTCAAAATTGTAGAGAATCTTGATGAATACAAGCACAGAGTGGTACAAAACTAAAACTAGTTAGTGGATAGAACAAAAGGATATATAGCATTTGAAGACTTCCAAGTAAAAGAAGCATGAAAGCTGAATTTTATAGGAGAGCAGACATAGTGGTGCACAATGAATTATGAACTAATTGACCATATACATTTACATAGTGCCTCTCTGTTTATCTTGGTATATATGCCATCACAGGTCCACTTTTTCACTTTGTAATAAATTACATATCTGATACTTCAACCAAAGCTGCAAATATCTCTGCACAATATGGAGACATGAACAGGAATGTAACATATATATAATTATATAAACCAAAGAAAAGAGTGGGATATATTCATGTTGGAGTCCACTAAAGAAAGCTCTACATATCTGACATAACAAAATATATGCAGCAGAATTATATTAATAATTTACAAATGAGATAATTTCATTATCATCATCATCATCATGATTTAATAAACTATAGGCCTGCATTTCTTAAGATTCTTTTTGGGGAAGATATCATATCATATCATGGCCTAAAAAATTGTTTTTAAGATTTCTGCTAAATACATGATGATTTTAAGGCTTTATTTTTCATCTTAATGTTGTTACAAAGAAGATATGCTATTATTATCATGATCATCATTATTATCATTTTGGACTTATGTTGTTTCTCATATCACATGTATAAACAAACAAAACTTTTCTAGTGGGGTTTCAGCTGCAAAGTTTAGTGGCAACTAAGAAATCATAAAGAGAGGGAAGTTACACTGAAAAGCTCCCATACTTTTTCTTGTCAATTCTAATTTTAAATCATTCCTGATTACTCTGCTTTTATTTTATTTTATACGAATCGAAACGATAAGGACTGAATCTATAGTCTATATTACGGAGGTTAAGTGTTACTTCCTCTGTCTCAAAATAATAGTCGTTTAAGATTGTTCCACGGAGATTAAGAAAAATAATAATTGAGTCAATAAAAGTAACATCTTTACAAAATTACTCTTTATTATTATTGGTTGTAATACATTGTCATACTTAAAAAGAGGATATACAAGGAGTAAAATTGATAAAAGTTAATTATAATTGAATTGGAAAACTAAAGAGACTATTATTTTGAGACAATTTTTTGAAGCTAAAGACAATTATTTTGAGAAAGAGGGAGTACATGTTACCGCCGGTTAAGAACTAGAAAGCAGGTAAAAAAAATTCTTGAGTGATTTCATTGGGTACAAAAGTTGGAAAAAGTTTGGTTTTGAGGTTAATGGGTATCTATCAATCAAGAAGAAATTCATAAACAAATGATTGTGAAAAGATATTTTCTTTTATTTTTTACAAACTAAGGTTATTCTATTTTCTTTCTACATTTTGAGTAATATTGTTAAGTGGTTGTTGTTGTTGTGGTTTGCTTTATTTTATGGGCACTGTCCACAAAAACAAGCATAGATTCTCTCTTTGAGATCTCTCTCCTAGCTGTGCGGTTTAGGAATGGATGATTGTGCTCTGTCTCCTCTGCTTTGATTCTCTCTGCTCATAAAGGTTTCTTGCTTTTCTCTCTCTCTCTCTCTCTCCTTTTCATTGATACCATTCTAGGCTATTGCAGCTGCACTCTATAAACGGTGCACTCACTATACTTACATGGCAATGCATATTCACACGTTTTATTCCATCTCCACTATACTCTTTAGAGTATAAAAGGGTCATCACCATTCTGCATTTTTCTTCATTGCAGATACCTCTTCATTCTCATTACAGTTGCAGTACTAGTAGGTGGACCTGCTTTCATCAATTCTTTCTTTCAAAATGAGTCATGCACATTCTCATACCGGTTCCGGTTTGTTCTTTTTTATCCTTCTTTGCAAGTTGCATGAATTTTAGTCTATTGATTGCTATAAGTGCGTGTTTGGAGTCATGGTGAGTTTGACAGAATCACGATGACACGTGGTTTTGTTAAAGCTTTAGAGTGCAACTTTTGCTAAAATCACGGTAACACGTTGTGATCTGTCAAACTCGTCATGAATCCAAGTATTATAAATACTTTTGCCTTATGTTTTGACATTTATTAGCTATCTTCAACTTAGCATGTTATTGAGTAGTAGTTTTTTTTCTTGTTTATAATTGCAGGTAGTAGAACTACTCGACGAGCTTTCGAGTTCGGGAAGACACATGTCGTGAGGCCTAAGGGAAAACACCAAGCTACTATAGTTTGGTTGCATGGACTTGGTGATAATGGTTTGAGGTATGAATGTCATCACTGCTATATGTCATGCAAACATCATCATAACCATTAGTTATTCCTTCTCCTACTTGTTATGTATTCTACTTTTCCTTTGTGGATCCTATCAATTCTTTTAGAACAGTAATTTGGTTCAAAAGTAAAAAGATACGGAAAAAAACGCAGACAGAGAACACGATATTTGTTCTTTCTACCTTGTCTATAACCTTAATGCTTCATTCTTTTGTTTCAAGTACAAAATCCGTATACGAAAAATGAAACTTTTAAGGGAAAGTATCTGAAGTTCTTTCTGGTTAGATTCCTAATGTTGAATGTTCTAAGTATTGAAATTCTTTCTGGTTAGATTCTACATGGAATATATTCTGCAGAAGAAAGTTATGATTATAATTCTTGGTTTAGAAGAGTATATACTAAATTCTCTACCTATATCAATATTTTCAAAAGACTATATTACTATAATAAGTAGAAGTTGTCATGTAATACAAATATTCTGATTTTGTATTTTGGTTATCTGCAGTTCATCTCAATTGTTGGAATCACTTCCACTTGCAAATGTGAGAATTTTTTTTTTTTTTTTTTATAACTTCAATAAGTTTAAAATTGTCTTAAATACTTCTCTATAATGTGTTCTGTAATGTGATGATTTTGTATGATATGATACAGATAAAATGGATTTGTCCTACTGCTCCTACCCGTCCTGTGGCGATACTCGGCGGTTTTCCCTGCACTGCATGTAATATTTTAAAAAATATATATATATTTTTTCGTCCTCTTTGTTAATTGAAGAATTAGAGAACTAAAAAAGTGTAATTAACTTGGTGATTGAATATTAATTTGCAGGGTTTGATGTGGGAGAGCTTTCAGAAGATGGTCCAGATGATTGGGAAGGTTTAGATGCTTCAGCAGCCCATATTGCTAACTTGCTGTCAACAGAGCCAGCTGATGGTACTTTTCAAAGCTTTCATTGAATCAATAATAACATAATATTAACCTGACCGTTGGCTTGTTGGTGAAAACTTGAGATCCGAGAGTGTGCGAGTGTGCTCCTCTTGGGATCTTGGGATTGTTCCCCTTAATTAAAGTTGGTATCTTGAATTAATGTTATATGATTATATGTGACAGTGAAAGTTGGTATTGGAGGGTTCAGTATGGGTGCAGCAATAGCATTATACTCTTCAACTTGTTATGCCATGGGAAGGTATGGAAATGGAATGCCATATCCTGTCTGTTTAAGAGCAGTTGTTGGACTCAGTGGTTGGCTTCCAGGATCAAGGTATCGTATACTGATAATAACTTTAAAACATGTATTATTTTCTCATCAGTTTCACTATAATGGTTTGTCGATTGCTTTGGAAATTGCTATCTTGTAGGAGCTTAGGGAACAAGATAGAAGTGTCACACGAATCACGAAGGCGAGCTGCTTCGTTACCGATTTTACTATGCCATGGAATCAGTACGTATCTAAAAATTTATATGTTGGTGTAACTAATTCACCAAGTTTTCAATTCAACTGTCTGATCTCAAAATAACGACAGAGAATTCATTTTGTAGGTGATGATGTAGTACACTGCAAGTATGGAGAGAAATCTGCACAATCCTTAAGCTCAGCCGGGTTTCGATATATAGCATTCAAATCCTATGAAGGGTAAGATGAAATCAATCATCATACTAACGAAACAAGTTTGAGTTATTAGAACAGTTTTTCACAGTTTATGTTGTGATGAATGCAGGCTTGGTCATTACACAGTTCCAAGGGAGATGGATGAGGTTTCCAACTGGCTTAGTTCAAGGTTGGGGCTTGAAGGATTCTCATCTTAAAATGACAAAACTATAGTATGAATGAATCGGTTAATGTTTGTAGAATAACATATAAACATGAGATTTAATTTTCTGGGTCCCTTTTTGTCATGTTGGTGAGGAATAAATATATATGAATGTGTTTACTAAGTATTTATCTCTTTATTATATTATTGTACAATCTAGGTGCTTGATTAGTAGTATTATTGGAGAGATTTTTAGTTTTTGTTTTCGTTAGTACTGTGATTGTAACAAAACAGGGATCTTGGACTCCTTGTTTTTCAATTTCAATAAACTTTCTATTTTGGGTGAATTATAAAACTTCCCATCTCCATACAAATTTTGAGAAAAATTAATTAAAAACTATATACAGCAAAACACTTGCCATTGAATTATTTTCCCTGCCTTGTTATAAAAAATCTGTAATACAATGTTCTTATCACATTATTCTAACACAGGATGAATAAAAGTTCAGTCTTAACTATAATTTCATAGCAAAGTGCACGCACACGCGACATTTGTGTATCACAATAAAGAAACCCGTCGAATAACTTATACTATCACATAATGTAATCTTTGCAGCAAAAAGAAACAGTTTGCATCGAACAAGTCGGTCTAAACTACCTCTCTCTTTTCAAATTCCATCGCCTTAGTTGTGCTTTTACTGCTTGGACACAATATCTTTAAGCTTTTCCTTCAATTCACCAGTCTACAAGAATGTGAAATATTGTTTAACAGGAGAGTATAAAATATTGTAAAGTAAAAAATGATAAACTCTTTAAATGGGAATGAACCTGGTGCATATTAAGAATAATATCTGATCCACCAACAAACTCTCCCTTAATGAAAACTTGTGGAAATGTTGGCCAGTGACTGCAGAGAAAGAACAGGGGAAAACATCAGAAGTGAATATTTGCCTCATCTGTCAATTAATAAGCTGTTAAAAGAAAAAAGTAATTAGACTTAGTAGCAACTGCACTTCGGTACTACCATATTTTGAGAATCAATAATAATAAGATTTAAGAGACATATACCACTTTAATGCAAAAAAAAAAAAAAAGTTTTTAAATCATTTTTCATAACTTGAAAGAAGACTTAACATGAAAGCAGTTCAAATCATTGGAGAACAGAAGGTTTAATTAGTGAATAAATGACAGATTAATAACCAGTAAAAGTTCACTACACATATTGAAATCAACTGGAACAACCTCACACACAGAACAAATTTTTATCTTCAAATTGATGTTTATGATTTTCAGATTTGTGGCATGACTCTCATCCGTTGAACTCCATGGCCGGTAAACGGTGTCATAGTTCTAACAAAGATGGAATTCTAAATTGGAAGGTTTCAATGTTTAGACAGCACAGCAATTACTTTCAAATTTTAGGATTTATAATTCATAATCTGAATTTACTTGAAATATTTGGATTTACAAACTGCAATTTGAAAATAATATTACATGTTTCATATGACATATCAACAACTTTAGTTACTATTATTGGCAATAGATATATTTTTTTTATATCCTTTAACTGACTTCTTTTAATTAATTATTGTAAATTGTAATGTTGAAAAACTAGGCTACAGTGAGACCATTGCTCTGGTTATTTCCTTTAAATGGTAATTTTGAAAAACTAAGCTATAGTAAGAGCACTTTCCCTGAAGAAGCTAGAGTAATATAACCAGCAAGAACAGGTTTACCTGAAGGATTTTACAGCATTTTTCAGTTCAGGATCCTCCAAAATGTTTCTAGCACTTAGAGGAACATCTGCAAAAGCAACAAATAGTAATAATTACAAGGTATAAACTCCCAGTTTGTCATCCAGTAAAGCTAAGTCATATTCACAATAAATTTCTGTTGGCCATAGGTAAATAAAAATAACAAGAAAAAAATCAACAATTGGAAAAACTCATGTGAAACTTAAAAGCATGCTAATGTGTTATATATTCTCGCAAAGGTTATAAAATTGATCATCATAATTAAATTTTAAGCCAGCACCTGTGGACTAGTCTTTCTTCTTGCTTTAACAGGATTGCCATTAAAAATTGTGTTAATTTCCATTTATGTTGGAGAAGATGAAATCAAATAGCAAGGATGAAATATTTAAAATGATTCCATTCAACATAATTAAACCAAAACACAAGATTAAAGAAACACATTAACTACCATGACATCAACTACCTTCAGAAAATAAATCACTATAATGTTTGATAGAAAAATTAAGTTATGTTACACTATATCCATTCTGAGTCTACACTTTCACAATTACAGAAGCACAATTTTCGCAACACGGGGAAAAGTAACAATACAACCATGAAAAGACAAGTTCGGAAGATATAATTTTTCACGAAAAGTATGATTTAGTTACCATATTGTTTTAAAACTTTAACTGCAAGAGAACTAAATCCACACTGTGGAAAATCAGGCACGCCTTTCATGTATAGCATAACAGGATTATCCTTGACATCCTGTAGATTATTATGAGTCACAAGTGATTTGTCATAAAAATAATACTAAACCCTTAATAGAAATGGAATTCACCTGCTCAATAATGTTTGACAGAGAAGCACCAGAACTGTCAAGCTTATTAGCAGGCTTGAAGTCATCATGTGTGTCTGGATCATTAGACACCTTGGTTGAGTATTTCATTCCATAATAACATGAACTAGTTAGCTGCAAACACGTTAAAGGAAAACAATATCATTACATTTTAGAGAACAAACGAATTCTACTCCTTTCGATTGTAACCCTAAAATTTCAATATTCACATTGGTTTTCTAGGGCACTGTGACAATAAATTCAAACAAAAATCGAGGAATTTCAGCATTCGCATGATTCCAATTCCAAGTAAAATTATTCAACAACCAGATTGTAACTGAAAAATCGAATCAACGTTGCAGGAAAAATAACAGGATTAGGGTTTGATTTAGGGGTTGGGAAACTTACACGTGTGGTGAGAGAGCGAGCTGCGATTCCTTTGAAAAGAATGGCCGCCATGGCAGTTTTGTATCAATTCTCTCTGATGCGATGAAGGAATGAGTCGCTTCTCTAAATGCATACAACTTGCAAATTGAAAACTAAATAGGTTGAAAAAATAATAAATTGAAATTGTAGAAAGAAAAAATAAAATTAATAGAAGTCTATTTATATTGAAGTCATAAAAATCATTTTAAAGATATATATTTTTTATTTGATGTTAGTATTGAGATTCTAATTTCTTGTGTCGAAATAACATGTAGTTTGACAGAAACAAGATTGTGTCAAAACTAGTCTAATGTACAACGAGTTGTATTAGATGTCGAAGTGTTGAAGTAAGTTGTTTCACACAAGATTTCGACTTAAGTCTAAAATAGTTATTTTAGTTTTTGGCTTAGGAAGCAATCAAGCTTAATTATAAATAGAGAGATTAGCCCTTATTTTGTAAAGACTTGAATTTATGAGAAACTTGCATTTGCAAGAGAGAAATAAGAGAAGTTTCCACATTTTACTGGCAGAGAGAAACTCTGCATAAATCATCTTCTTCTTCCCTAATTTCTGGCAAACCCTAATATTCCTTCTTTCTCAATTTCTTTCTTTTTGATTATCAATGCGTAGAGATAATCATCTTGCAATCAAGGTTGATTCGAAATTACTTAAAGTGTTGGGTTTAATTCCAACATCTGGTATCTAGAGCACTGGTTGAGCGATTCATGGAAAGAAAATCATGATAGAAATGAATCATTCGAACGGGAATTTTCCGACGAGTCTTCTAATTCTGGAGAGTCATAATTATGAAAATTCATGTTTGAATGTGTTGATTTAGAACATTGATTGTATTGATTTATGAATATCTAGAGCACTGGTTGTATTGATTTAAATTTAAAAGAAAGATAAATATCATAAAATATTATAGAAATAGAAATAAAATTATTTTAAGATTGAACATATAATTAACATAAAAGAAAGACCGAGAGAAAAAGGAATATGTGCAGATATCGTAAAAAAAAATTTACTGTTAATCAATTAGAAACGTGTATGTGTAATATTGATTTATTGTGAGTGTCCTACCTTTAAACTCTAAAAGAAATAATAAATTGAAATTGTAGAAAGAAAAAAATTAATAAAAGTTTATTTATATTGAAGTTATAAAAATCATTTTAAAGATATTTTTTATTCGATATTAGTGTTGAGACTGTAATTCATTGTGTCGAAGCAGCATGTTGCTCGACACAAATAAAATTGTGTCGAAATTAGTCTAATGTGTGTCGAGTTGTATTAGATGTCGAAATGTAGATTGTTACACACAAGATTTTGACTTAGGTATAAAATAGTTATTTTGGACTTTGGCTTAGGAAGCAGGCGAGCTTAATTATAAATAGAGGGAGTAACCTCTATTTTGTAAAGACTTGAATTTCTAAGAAACTTGCAGTTTTAAGAGAGAAATAAGAGAAGTTTCCACAGTTTGTGGACAGAGAGAAATTCTACAGAAATCATCTCCTTCTTCCCCCAATTTCTGTCAAACCTTAATCTTTTTTCTTTCTCGATTTCTTTCTTTTTCATTGTCATTATATAGAGATGATCATCTTGCAAACAAGGTTGATTGATTCACTCAAGTGAAGAGTGAAGAACAAGGGATTTCAATCAGTGTGATTGAATATTATTCATAAAGACTGATTCTGAATTACTCAAAGTTTTGGGTTTAATTCCAACTTCTGGTATCTAGAGCACTGGTTGAGCGATTCGTGGGAAGAAAATCATGATGGAAATGAATCATCCGAATGAGAATTTTTTTGGCAAGTCTTCCAATTCTTAAGAGTCATAGTTATAAAATTTGGTACAAGCAGATGAAGTAGGTTTTCTGTTATCAAGATCTTTAGGATCTATTGAAGAAATGTGTAATGGCGCTTGAAGAAGAAGCAACAGGTGAAGAAAAAGCTGAATACAAATAATTGAAGACGAAATATTATAAAGCTCTCTTTATAATTCATCAATGTGTTGATCCAAACAATTTTAAGAAGCTGAAAGATGTTGAATCAGCGA